GAAAAAAAATCAGCTTTTCTGCGTGTTAGAATCACAGGAGGCATGTTCGCTGGCCAGACCACGTCAGCTGCTTGCAGTACGGGAGGAAAGTGGTCCCAGGCAGGTGCGCCGTTTCTGCGGCCCGGTGGGACCGCTCAGCCGACCTCCCGAGTCCCGCCCTGTCTGCCTGCCGAGACCCTCCCGGGTTCCGAGGCAGGCAGCCCCGCCCCGTGGTCCCACTGCCATGGTAGGGAAGCGCCGCAGCTGGAAATGTCATTTCTGCATCTGTGCCCCTGTCCCCAAGTCTTCATGCTAGTCTGCGGGGCCCCGGCACTCTGGCCGAGCAGCCCTCTCCCAGCTCTGTCACGTGAGGAAGCCACCTGTCAAAACACAGACACCATTTTCAAGGCCTAAAAAATTGATTTTATGGCTCTTCTTGTAATTCTCTTTCTGAATTAGGCACATGATATTGATGCGGGCCCACTTTTTAATCATAATAGCCACTGACAAGGTAATTAATTTTAAAACAACTCTTTTTTTCCCCTGCTCCAAATGGCACTATATTGAAATTAAAAGTGAGCTCCGTGAGGGCAGCAAGCTGGGCACTCAGGTGATTGCCTCGGCCCGTGACAGCCCCTTCATCTTCCGCGCGACCTTTAGCGGCGGCTCCTGTTATTAATTGGCTCAGGCTCTTACATCAGAAAGAGCCGGGCAAGGAAAACGTGATAAAGTTTAGGTTTTTAATGGTAGTTGTGCAGGATGCTAGACATGCCGACGAAGTCGCGTCTCCAGGTCATTGCAGGCACCTGGCGTGTCACGCGGTGGCTTTCTCTGGAGGAGAGCTGGCGGGCCTGGTCGGTGGCCGTCCCTGTGAGTGGGCAGCGGGCCAGACCCTGTAGAGCGAGGGAAGGCCCGGGAGTAGTGTTCTCTCCCTCTCCCTCTCTTCCCCTCTCCTTCTGTCCCTCTCTTCTTCTTCCTCTCTTCCTTTCTTCCTCCCTCCCTCTCTTCCTTTCTTCCTCCCTCCCTCTCTTCCTCTCTCTGTCTGTCTTTCTCTTTCATTCTCTCTATCTGAACACTCTGGAACTTTGTAAAGTTTGTTCAGTCAGATATGAAAAAGGAAACTTAGGGCTGGGCACAGTGGCTCACACCTGTAGTCTGCACACCCAGGTCCTCACGGACAGGAGACCCACAGGACCGAGACCCAGGTCCTCACGGACAGGAGCCCCCCAGGACCGAGACCCAGGTCCTCACGGACAGGAGCCCCCCAGGACCGAGACCCAGGTCCTCTCGGACAGGAGCCCCCCAGGACCGAGACCCAGGTCCTCTCGGACAGGAGCCCCCCAGGACCGAGACCCAGGTCCTCTCGGACAGGAGCCCCCAGGACTGAGACCCAGGTCCTCTCGGACAGGAGCCCCCCAGGACCGAGACCCAGGTCCTTGTCAGACAGGAGCCCCCCAGGACTGAGACCCAGGTTCTCATCAGACAGGAGCCCCCGGGACTGGGGCCCAGGTTCTTGTCACAGGAGCCCCCCAGGACCGAGACCCAGGTCCTCGTCAGACAGGAGCCCCCGGGACTGGGGCCCAGGTTCTTGTCAGACAGGAGCCCCCGGGACTGGGGCCCAGGTTCTTGTCAGACAGGAGCCCCCCAGGACCGAGACCTAGGTCCTCATCGGACAGGAGCCCCCGGGACTGGGGCCCAGGTCCTTGTCAGATAGGAGCCCCCGGGACTGGGGCCCAGGTCCTTGTCAGATAGGAGCCCCCGGGACTGGGGCCCAGGTCCTTGTCAGATAGGAGCCCCCCAGGACTGGGGCCCAGGTCCTCATCAGACAGGAGCCTCCCAGGACTGGGGCCGAGATCCTTGTCAGACAGGAGCCCCCGGGACTGGGGCCCAGGTTCTTGTCCGACAGGAGCTCCCCAGGACTGAGACCCAGGTCCTCGTCGGACAGGAGCCCCCGGGACTGGGGCCCAGGTTCTTGTCAGACAGGAGCCCCCCAGGACCGAGACCCAGGTCCTCATCGGACAGGAGCCCCCGGGACTGGGGCCCAGGTCCTTGTCAGAGAGGAGCCCCCGGGACTGGGGCCCAGGTCCTTGTCAGACAGGAGCCCCCCAGGACTGGGGCCCAGGTCCTCATCAGACAGGAGCCCCCGGGACTGGGGCCCAGGTCCTTGTCAGAGAGGAGCCCCCGGGACTGGGGCCCAGGTTCTTGTCAGACAGGAGCCCCCCAGGACTGGGGCCCAGGTCCTCATCAGACAGGAGCCCCCGGGACTGGGGCCCAGGTCCTTGTCAGACAGGAGCCCCCGGGACTGGGGCCCAGGTCCTTGTCAGACAGGAGTCCCCCAGGACCGAGACCCAGGTCCTCATCAGACAGGAGCGGCCCCCCCCCCCCGGGACTGAGACCCCAGCGATGTGAGGCAGAAGACTTCAAAGCCCCTGAAGCAAGTGTCCTGTCGGGACTGGTAAGGGACCTTTCAAGGAACCAACACCTTTTCTGCAGGTTTTTTTTCCTTCTAAAGTCGTCTAACAGTAGATAATAAATATTTTTCAAAGGTAGTTTCCATGTGTTCTGCTGAAAGGCTGTGAGCCGCCTGAGGGCAGGGCCGGCCACCAAGGCCCTGCGGGAGGGAGGTGAGGAATTAGGGGGAGGCCTGGGGGGGGGGTCCCAAACAGGCTGAGGCCCTCCCCACCAGCCGCCCGTCCTCTGCAGAAAGGTTCAATTTTAACACAAGTTAGTGAAGTTACCGGCCATCTGCATTAGCAATAACAATTTCTTCCAATACGTCTCTTCAAATTAATGTTAAAGTTGAATTAATGCTAAAATTGAAAGTTCCTCCAATTAAAAAGGAAAACTAATTTTTGTGGGATTTGGCAGGAAGATAATGGTAATTAATTTGCAAGGGGAATTTGAAAATAGCTGAGACTATTTTTAAAAGAATTGTCAACAAGAAGAGCTTCCCTGTAGAAAGCCGTATCAGCTGAAACAAAGACCTGCAGAAAGGACAGACAGTCTCAGCGAGACCTGCCGCTGGGAGTCTCGAGTCATGTTGCAAACTTGGGGGGAAGAGGCTTGAACATTTAATAAATGGTGCAGATCAATTGAACATCCACTTGGGAAATCAATAAACGCAGATCCGTGCTCTACACTGTAATTCCAGACGGATTAAAGGATAACCCTAAAAACCCTAGCGCACAGATGAACGAGGAGGGGCCTCTGGGCGCGCCAGCCGGGCGCTGGGGGTGTGACGGGCGGACGGCGTCTGACAGCAGCCGCGTCCTCGGCCGACACAAGGTTTCCTTCCGGAACTTACAGGGACACGGCTGGAGCGCGGCAGGGAGGAGGCAGGGAGGCAGGTGGAGAAACAGGCCGGGAGCCCGGGAGCGGCGCAGGTTTTAGCCGCGCGTAGGAGACGCAGCCTCACGGCAGCTGAGGGCACAAATGAAGTTTCCCCCAGAGCCAGAAGTTCATGAAGTGACGGCGACTTGACCCACTCGAAGACACGGAGGTGCAGGCTGCCAGCTGCTCCAGCTTCCGCTCCCCGGGCCTGGAAGCCTCCGGAAGGTGCAGAGCGGGACGGCGGCTGTGGCAGCTCCGCGCCTCAGAGCGCCGTGCTCCAGAAGCCGCCGCAGGGCGCCGCGCAGAACTGGCCATGGAAACCACGGAGACAGTCGCTCACGGGTCAGCTCTCCTCTCTCAAGCCGGCGAATCCGGGTGGAAAAGGCCGCATCAGCAAACTCGGGCTGCCCACTCCGTCCCCGCCACCGGCGCCCTGGTGCCCTGTCCCGGCTCCTGGAAGCCGCAGGCTGGCGGACCGCAGCGCCCTCCCGCCTGGCTGGAGCGGGAATCGCCAGGCCGAGCGGCCGGCGTGTGGAGGCTTCTTGGAGGCTCGGTAGTTTTGGAGTCAGTCTAATTAGGAGGTTGGCCTAGCTTGGGCCCGCACAGTAACAGTAAAAACAAAAACGGAAAGCCCAGTCCGTCTCCAAGTGCAGCGTTTGAGGGGCGCGTGGGAGCGGCTCGCCAGGGCAACACCCAGGTGGTGTCGCGGCAGGGGGCGCGAGGGAGGCGGGCTGGTGGGAGCGGGGCTCTGGCAGCGGGAACTTCCTCCCCTGCAGGTCACGACCCTGCAGCAGGTCCCGTGCGGCAGGTAGTTCTCGTTTTGCTTTCGAGTTGGGCGCACCTGACGTCTCGCTCTGCCTGGAAACCGCGGCACTTGTCAGCCGCATTGCCAGCTGCGGGCGAGGGGCTTTGGGGTAAGCGAGGGGTCTGCCAGCTGTCCTTCAGAAGCCGTGTCCCTGGGGGGACCTGCCACTCCTGGACAGTTGCCACGGGTGTTTTCGGTGGGAAAGTCTCTATGAAATGGGTTGTGATTGAGTTAAATATGTGGACACGTTTTTTTGAAGAATACCTTTAGCAATTACTTGCTAAAACACACACACACACACATATGCAGCCGCTAGTACTTTGTAACCATGAAAGGTCCAAGTGGCGCCAGGGCAAGGCGGAGCCCGTGTCCCTGACTCGAGAGGTTCAGAGGCCACGCGGCGCGGTGCTGGCAGTGCTGGCCTTGGCGTGTGCGGTGCCTCCCGCCTTCTCCGGCCACGCTCGGCAGTTGCTCCACTTCTCCCACGCTCGGCGTTTTCTCACTCGCACCCCCACCCGGCCTTCTGTCCTCCTCGGTGGGGCCGTGGTGTCCAGGAAGTTGGCTCCCTGCTGCCGAGGCCCAGGGGATGAGGACACAGTGGAGACTTGGCTGCGTCGTCACGGGCAGCACACGTGTGCCCTGTTGGAGAGAGCTGAGCGCCGTGTGGAGGCCATGCGTCGGCAGTGGTCTCTGTGCTAAGTTCTCGGGGCACAAAGCAACAATCACGGGGTTTCCCTGCAGTGGGAGACGGCGGGGAGCGCGTGGCGGGCAGCGCATGGTGGACACGCTGCAGCCGTGTGGATGGGGAGCGTGTGGCGGACACGCTGCAGCCGTGTGGGCGGGGAGCATCAGCACACCCCGTGACCTGTATCTCCCTTTCTCCCAGAATCATCGACCAGCGGTTCGAGAAAGCGTCCTACTTTGTGTTCGGCGATTTCAACTTCCGGCTGGACGCCAAGTCTGTCGTGGAGGTAGGTGCCACGTCCCCCCCTCAGCCAGGCCTTGCGCCCACTGTCTGTGCTGAGAAAACTGAGAGAAGGGACGTCATCCTTCCAGGCGTTTCTGCTCTCTTCTGCCTCACTGGTTATGGTTTTTAAGGCAAAAACACCTGATGAAGCATTTTTTATTGTCAGCTGAGGGGCCCTTGGTTGGAGTCCGAGGTGAGTGGGAGCCGCCGTCAGACCACGTGCGGCCGTGCCCTGCGGGCTCTGATGTGGCCGTCAAGCCTGCTCCTCCGTGTCTGCGGGCGGGCGCCGGCCAAGCTCTACCTCACCCACTGCATCTCAGATGTTTTTCCCCAGTGAACGCGCGAGGCCTAAACACCCGTCTTTAACCCCATGCAAACCGGCGCCTCTGTCTGATCTGTGGCATCCTGGTCATCTCTTGACTTTTGGGGGCTCAGCGCTCACGTGTGGCTCCTGGGTGTGCTCTCGGGCCCGGGTGACAGCGCAGCTGCAACCACAGCCGGGGCCAAGCTTGGCCGCAGGGTCAGATTCGTGGGACGGTCGCAGAGCGGGAAGTGGGGCCCGTGGCAGGGGCACGAGGGCCGACTTCCCTCTGTGGTCAGGCCCCCGGCACGCGGGCGCTGGGACCTCCAGGCCGAGGCTCTCCCGCCTCCAGGCCGTGCCTCCTGGCTCTCGTGTGACCTGCGCAGGCGGAAGCAGAAATGTGAACGGGAGAACCTGCATGGGGAGGGCCCGGCCACGCTGCATGTCCACGTGAGACACGGCAGTCTGTGGTGGCGTCATCTCCCCACAGCAGTCTCAGTCACAAACACTCACACGCTGACCTTCGCCCTCAGCGGACGACTGTGCCCTGTGGACAGAGCTGACGGGCTTTTGCTGGTTCTGACGTCCCTTTGGCCAAGCGTGCCGTGAAATCTTCCGTGTTTTATGTAATGAAGCTGACGGCGCCTCGCTGAGCACGGCTTCACCACATGCGTGTAAATGTTTGGCTGCGCAGGTGGTTTTTCCTGAATGCTCAGCGACTCCTAGTGGAGACCAGCTCCACCCCCCAGGGAGACACCTCTGTGTGCAGGGGGGGGCTGCTGGGCACGTGTCGTTTCTATAGGCCAATTCCACTGGGGACCCCAAAACCGTTATTCACTCTGCGGGTTTCTTTCTCTCCTGAGGGCGGCAGAGCTAAGGAGTCCGGCGGGTCCCGTAGGCGCTGCGCCCCTCGAGAGCTGGGGACTGTGTCTGTCCTCCCTGAGTGTCTGTCCCCGAATCTGAGGCAGTTCAGGACACGAGTGAGGCCCGAGGGCCACAGAGGCCGGGCCTCTCACCGAGGTCTCCTGGGCTGGTCCGGAGACGCTGGCGGTGCACGAGCCACCCTGTCACCAGATTGAGCCTCCCGCCCGTGTCTCTGCGCACGGTCGTATCTGACCCGACGCTGGAGCACAGGTGACCCTGCTGTGTACGGAGCGGCGTCTCCCGCCTGGAGGCTGGGGCGGGCGTGGCCGGCCGTGGAAGCAGAGCCCCTGGAAGAGCAGTGCGGAGCAGCCGGAGCACCGGCGATCGGGAAAGGTCAGAGGAGCTTCCAGAGTGGCCTCCCCCCCGCAGAACAAATGTCACAAGAAAGGCCGCTGCGTCCTCACTCGGGTCAGAGCTGTCACCAGGGAGCGTCTGGGCTGCCCGTGGGCGTGAGTCTCAGAGCCGCCGAGCCGGGAGGGTGGGGTGACACTCGGGCAGTGGGGCTCCGCTGTCTCTCCAAGTGGGACCAAGGAGCATCAGCCCTGAGTGTGGACGCGGGGCGGGGCCGACTGCGGAGTCCCAGCACGTGCGGCCCTTGTCCCGTGGCGCCACACGGCTCCCGTGGCGGCACACGGCTCCCGTGGCTTCCCGAGGCAGCGGACACGCCAGCTGGGATGCGGGGCAGCTGTTGAGAAGCGTCTCTGCAGACCCTGAGGCGGGAACTCTCCACAGAAACGCGCGGGCAGGTGGGAGCTAAGGTCCCGGCCTCGGCCTGTCCTGCCTTGGGCCCAGCACGGAGGCCACCGTCCCCTCCACCCGGTTCGGGGGCTGGAGCCTGCCCACACCGCACCGCAGCTGCTCACACCGTGGCTGACAAGCACCCCGACCAGCTGAGGAGCCAGACTACGTTTCATCTCCACTCCAACTGCAAACGGCCGCGTGGCCAGTGCCAGCCCGCTGGGCAGAGCAGTCTAGAAATTTTAATGCAAACATGACGTTGGGGAGGCATTTCCCCCGGCCCGTTCCTGCTGCGCCCCGTCCATCTCGGACTCACAGCCCCGAGTGGGCCAGGCGCGGGGTCTCGGCAGCCCCTTCTCCTAATGCCTAGGCAGCGCGGCATGGTCTGCCCTGCAGAATCCCGTGGAAGAGAGCGGCCTGGGTCTCCCCGGTGGGAGGAGAGGACACAGGGCAGAGAAGGCGCTCATGGGAGTCACTGGGTCTGACTCCAGTCTCAGACGCAGGTGTTTCTGAGCAAAAGGCCGGGCTCCAGTGGCCCTGTGGGCAGGTGGGAGGGTCACAAGCAGAGGAGGCCACACAGGCTGCACGTCCTGGAGGCTCTGGGTGCGGCCGCTGGCACTGGGGTGCCCGAGGAGGGGAGCGCGTCGCAGGCAGAGGGGCTTCCTCACTTGGAGAACACACCGTGGTCTCTTGCACAGCGGCAGAAGGCCGTCGGGGTGCTCTGTGATGGGTACCCAGGCTTTGGTGAAGATCCACTTTCAGTCTGCGAAAGGTCTCTTCTGGGAGTCGTCTGGAATTGGACAGGGGTTGGCGCCACCCAGCTGAGCCCCGCCCGCCCTGCAGTGGCAGTGCAGGTGTCAGAAGCAGATGTAGCCACGGAGCAGATGTAGCCACGGAGCAGACGTAGCCACGGAGCAGATGCAGCTACGGAGCAGACGTAGCCATGGAGCAGATGCAGCCACGGAGCAGACGTAGCCATGGAGCAGATGCAGCCACGGAGCAGACGTAGCCATGGAGCAGACGTAGCCATGGAGCAGACGTAGCCACAGAGCAGATGTAGCCACGGAGCAGATGCAGCCACGGAGCAGATGTAGCCACGGAGCAGACGTAGCCACGGAGCAGATGCAGCCACGGAGCAGATGTAGCCATATGGACACCTGCCACCCCGGGTACCTCCCGACAGGGACTGTCCCGCAGCTGTTGGGTGCCCAGTGCCCTCATGCTTGAGGAACCCACGGCTGTTTGTCCAGCGTGGGTCTGGCACTTGCGAAGGAGTCTGAGGAAAAGCAACACTTTTCAACTTGATTTTTGCTCAGTAAATAAACAGACGTCCACGTGTTAAATTTTGGAGGATTTTATGCCCATGTGGCTCTTTAAAACCTGTGGACAGATGGCTGTTCATTTGACAAACAAAAACTTCTAATTCCATTTGCACTCAGTTTGCCGTGTAAGTAAAGCAAGCCTCGTGGAAAATAGAAACGTGGTTTTTGGTGCAATTTCCCTGGGAGTGTTGAGTGCAGTGGAGGCTGAGCCTCTGCAGGTGAAGGCCACTCTCCCTAGGGCCCTCAGCACACGGTCCTCATCGGGTCACGAAAATCCCGTGGACACAGCGGCCAGGACTGCAGCAGGGACTTCCTCTGGGGGGGCAGGTGGGAGCCAGAGCCTACCGGAGTGAGGAGCAGCAGTTCCCGAGAACCTCGGAGTCGGCAGCTGGAGGAACCTGAAGCCTAGCAGGGTGCCGTGTCCCCAGCGCCTGTCAGGGAAATTAGTTTGTTCTTAGATTGGTGTTGAATGCACGTGCCCCAGGGAATCCTGGGACCGCGCTGCACGTCACCAGGTGCGTCGGCTCCTGGGTCGCAGGACGCAGGCCCCAGGTGGTGTGAAGCAGGAGGCACCTGCTTTCGGAAGTGTGGTCGCCAGGTGTCCCAGGACCCCGCTGCTCTGGAGGCGCTGGGGGCATCTCCAGCGGAGGGTGGCCCAGACGTCCCTGGCTCGGGGCGCCTCGGCCCCGTCTGTCCTCTGTACACAGGACACTGGTCAGGGGAGTCAGGACCGCCCTCCAGGACGGCCTCATCCCAAGACACTGACGGGTCACACCTGCAAAGACTGTGTCCACGTGAGGCCACGTGCCGGGGCTCTGGGTGGCTGTGGATTGAGGGGACACTGTTCACCCCAGCGCACCCAGTCCGAGAAAAGAGCCCCGGACGCGGATCTGCCTGGGAAGACGGGATCCGTGCTGGAGTTCGCTTGGCAGCTCTGGCTCCGCTGCCTGTTGGGCCGCTGAATTTTAAACACTCTCAGCCCCTCTGGAGAAATCAGAATCCGCTGGCTGGCTCGGCTTTTGAAAGGGATTTTAACCTTAAAACATTTTATAGAAATTCTGTGGAAACAATACAATTCCGCAGGCTCTTCCTGCGTGCTGACTTAGCGCAAGCCAGAACCGCGCACAGGCGGAGGGTGGAGGAGGAGTCCCGGGAGCCGGGCCCTGCCCGGGCCGCCTGCTCAAACCAGCTCCCCACCCTGGGGCCGGCTCTCAGCCGTGGCCCTTCTCCGGTTCCTTCCACACGGAGCTGTGGAGCGCGGGAGGGGAGCACCACGCTCTGCCGCTGTGCCCGTGGGACGTGCTCCTGGGGATCTCGCCGGGACTCGGCTCTGGGCCCCTCCTGGCACCGGCACAGCGCAGTGGGGGCTGGGGCAGCAGGAGCCTGTCTGTCCGCTCGGTCTGTGCCGCCGAGTGCCACCCCCACGCAGCTCAGGTGGCAGACGTCCCCGAGTGTGCACCACTGAGCCGCCTGGCCGCGCACTGAGGTGACGGAGATGCAGTGGCCAGCACCACTGCCGGGCGTCTCCCGCGGGCCCCGCCGAGTCCGGGGCCTCACCTGTCCTCCGGGCTGGACTCTCAGCTCTGTCCCAACCCCCGTAGGAGCCACTTTCTCCTAAGGATCTGACGAACTTTGATGCCCTTCTTAGAAGCCTTTGCATTTTAGAGGGGAGGGAGTGTTTGGAGGCAGAGGCAGCCATTCCCCTGCAATTTGGGTATCAGCTGAAGGCCTGCAGGGGGAGACATGTCCTGTGGGGTCGTCAGATGGTGCTGGGGGCTGGGCGGGGTTGGGGACGGTCTTTGAGACAGGCTCCCCCTTCGCTCTTAGCAGAACTTTGTGTGGGGAAGAGAGGAAGACTGT